TGGACATGTCCAGAGGAGGGACAGTGGTTTGGACATGTCCAGAGGAGTGAATGATATAAAAATGCAGCTGCCAGGAAAAAGACAGAGGAAATACATGGATGCAGTAAGAGAGGAGTGAGGACAGAGTTAGATAGAAGAGGGTGACATGCTGTAGATCTCTGAAGAGCAAACAGCTGGAAAAAAGAATAAAAATATCTTACTGGTGCATTACGTTTTTATTATGCGAAATTGTTTTAATGTTTTATTTTTGTTTGTTTGTTTGTCAAGGCAGCTACAGCACTGTACATCTTTAATGTAGCACAGACGTCTGGTGTTATCTATGCATGTGTTTATCATACAGGTTGTTGTTTATTTTGTTCTAACTGTTAAATCAGCCTTTATAATGATATGGATGATATGATATGGCTATTTTAACTAAATTAATTTTAAATAATGAAGAATCATTTTCTGCCTCGAAAACTAATTCAAGCAACTCGCTGAAACGCTCACGAAGCGAATACGGAAGTGAGCGTCAGGGAACCCTCTTGTCTTGTTGCTCTTTGTGCTGCTGTTTGATTCGGAGCCGCAGCTCGGCTGTTTGCTGTGTTTACATACGGAGCCCGGACTGAAAACCAAACTCGGACTGTCCGAGCAAAACACTAACGGGGGGAATGGAGTCTCACGACAGAGACGAAGGGAAAGGGCCGGTGCTGCACATCGTTGTTGTTGGATTTCACCACAAAAAAGGCTGTCAGGTACGCAGCCTTTTCCCTCATGCTAGGCTAACTGACGTCTAGCATCGATAAAAGGTGCATTTCCTCCATATTTGTTGATATTATGAATGGAGAACTACTGCGACCCAGCACAGCAAGTGTTTGTATTCCTACTTCACATCTGTGCCTATATAAATAATACTAGTAGTTTATTTAATCGTAATTAATATAAGTGTTTAGATATGACAACACTGCAGAGGTGAATCTGCTCTGCGTCATATAACACCTGTTGTGTTGCCAGTTGGGATATTTTCCAGTCCAGTGTTTTCAGCACTTATTCAGTTTGACCTTACGACCTTATCAATTAAAGTTAATTAAGTTAATGGATAGGAGGGAGTCAGCTGCTGTCTGTTTCATGTTGAAGTGGTTTTGCTTGTGTGGGTTTTCAACAATAAATGGCGAAACTAAGTTAAATCTTGAAATTTGGATCACTTTAAAATCATATTTAGGGGTTTCATGTAACATTAACGGTGTTTAATTATCAGATCTTGATGATTCAGTGTCTAAACATTTGAGCACATTAAATTTGTGTCTTATTATTTATATTATACATAGATTATATTGAATAAACCATATTTACTCATCTCTAGTGAAGCCATTGTGTGCAGCATCTTGTCTTCAGGATCAGCAGAATCACATGTTACTAAATAAATATAAACATAAATATTACTTTCAGAGAGTTTGAGTAAAATCCATCGTGTGGTATATGAAATATTTTGCTAATAGACACACGTGAAAACAAAGAAGTGGTAGAGAACAGCAGTGCAGGAGAGACATTTCCTTGATGGACAAAATCAGACCCAGTGATGTCACATCACCGCTGCATGTCTTTCAGCTCTCCCTGTAGATAAACTACGTTGATATTTGTGCACAGAACCTGATCTGGTTTCTTTCATACTGTATCGTATGAGAACGCACATCTCGGGTGTTGTGTGTTATTGTCTGTAAACCTGCAAACATTAACTTGCTGACATTGCTGTGTCTCTCTTGCGATCCAACCAGCTGTAAACGGACGATAATTAGTGAAAGTGTGAGATGTTCTGCCTGAGCGGCTCGGTCCTTCCTCCAGTTTCTCAGCTTCTTTAAAATTCATTAAATGTCTGAACGGAGCGGCCAGCAGTGAAACTCAACGGGCGCTGCTCTCCATCTGGCCTCACTAACAGCAGCTGCACACAAAAAAATCTTTTTTGTGACCGCTGAGTCAGCATTCACACTCTTGTTTTCCTGTTTATAGTTTCTTCTGTATGCTCTTCTCAGTAAAATTACTTTGGGCTTTTTAAACATT